AATTTGAAACCCTGTTAGTAGATGTGAGGCAAAAAGCTAGTTCAACTAAATATCAAATTGTATCTCAGGAGCTAAAATTGTTTTTTAAGCTTCAATTATGCCTCAAACCACCCCCCTGAGGCAAGAGAAAGTATTATGCACTTTTACAGAAACACAAATTTAAAAAACCCACAGAGAGGTTAATCAATTTGCATCAAAATGCTTATGGCTGATCTGCACTGGGGTTAAGAACAAAACAGAATTCCTTCCTAGGGAGCAACTTACTTCCTTTTATTTTTCTGATAACCAGAGTATATGAAACTTCTGGAAAAGTTATGATGAATGTTCAAAAGAAACCTCTGAGAAAGGATTAGCATTTGTTTCCTAGTTTAGTAAATGAGTGATTTGTTTTTCATGCAAAAGCAACAGTGCACTCTTTTTTGTTTTACCAAACATTGCCAAGGAAATGAACCCTCTGAGGAAGAAGAAAAGAAGAGCAGAGCAATTCAGGAATTAGGACAACAATTGGTGGAATATTTCTTTTTCTTTCTTCTTTCCACCTCCTCTACATAGCAACCTGAACAGATATTGCTCGCTAGAGGGCACTTGAGGTAGAAGGAAAGAAAAACCCTCAATATCCATCTAACAGGACCAGTTGCCTGTACAGGCAGAAGACAGCAACCTAAAAGCTGTAGCTTGTTTTCCACATTGCAGCATCTGTAATAATAATAATAAAAAATCCTTAAATATCATTATGTACCCTTGACTGACAAAAGGATACTACTCACATTCTCCTCAATGTAGCTTCCTTTCATTTTTTGAAGCATTTGTCAAATGCATATTTTTTCTTCTATAAGAAATAACTTGATAATAACTAATCAGAACTACAACTCCATTTTACGCATACTATTAGAATGGTTGTGCCTCAGTACAACTGCATTCTACTATATATCTATAATAATATGCTATATTAATTTGCAATAATGGTAATCTTCTAAAGGAGACTTAAAAAATTAAATTTAAACATTATGTGTTAGATTAAATCTATATATTATAATAAACAAGTAGTATTTGTGATGAAAGGCTCCTTTTTTCTTTTCATATTCTTTTGTTCTTCTCTTTTTGTTTTTAAACAATGTGAAATATTTTTAATTATTTCCTCCTAGTGACTCCCAAGTTAAACAACAAGGAAGGTACTGTTCCCTTTTAAGGGTGAAAAATAGAAAAAAAGAAAAAGAAAAAATAAAATGCTCTAAAATGCTCAGTGTGTAGTCCGCAAAACCTGGGCTGGCTTAATTGATAGCTTTGTACCGGTCCTCTTGAATCTATCTACCTTCCCCTCCCACTCCAGTTTCTGTTTAGAAGCTGAATTGGAGCTTATCTCTTTTCTAGCACCTGGGAAGATGGGAGATAATTCTATTTTGAAGGCCTTCTCCAAAATGTTCTCAGCACAGATGTGGTTTTCAGAAAATGTTTACACCTCCATTTACAGAAAATATAATGGCAAGTGCAAGATTAGTAATTACAGTCAATATTCAGAAATACAGTCCTAATTTAAAGGACAGTTAAAAACCAGCAGCCAGGAATGCAGAACATCCACATCTCTGAATAGCAAGCTCAAAATGATTTTGCTTGAAGAATTCATAACCAAATGTAAAAAAATCAGTTTGATTTTTAAAATTCCATAAGAAATATTTCTAAAGTAACCACATGATAAATTTAGTGTATGTATAATTTGTTACATTTTTTTAAGATAATATTTTTTCTTAAAGTAGAATATTCCAGATTTTTAAAAAACAGGTAATAAAACAATATATCTCCTTACCCTTTAGTTCTTCTCATCTTTCCAGGTCTCACATTCAGAAAAAAAAAAAAAAAACGTAAGGCGGTGGTTCTCAAACTTCAGCAAGCAACAAAATTCCCTTGGGTATTTGTCAAACCAACATTTCTGACACCACCAAATTTAGGGCCCCAAATTTGCATTTCTAACAAATCTTTAGAAGATGCTGCTGCAGAAACTATTTCAGGGATCATAGGTTGAGAACCACTGGGTTAAAGAAAGCCCTGTAATGGCTCACTTTCATTTGATTTGGGACTATGGTATCTTATAATAATTTTCATAAAAGGCTAGCTTAGAACAAACACATGAACTTTAAAAAGTATCCTAAATTCACTTGAATATATGTCAACTTTTCAAAACAGCTTTCTTCCTTTTTTTCATTCTTATGACTTAGCTCCAACATTGAAATTCAAAATAAAAGTTGAACTTATTTATGACTAATGTCACAGTTATTATACAACTCCCAATAAAGTAAATACATTCAGAATGCTTCATCCTTCTGAAATGTGGGAAAAGGAGTCTATTTTCCTAGGGAAAATTACAGTAATGGCATTGTATTTATGTTTTGGTCTTCTTCTTACTTCAAATTCCTGAGATTTCTATTGTAAATTATAACAACCCAGGCAGGAGTCACAGGAAAAAAAAAATCACTTATGAAATGCACACTCCTTGAACTGATTGATGTATTCAGAGCAAAATTCCACATATTCATTAGTTCATTCAAGTTTAAAAGCAATACAAAAAACCTGAAAATTCTCAGTCATCACAGTATAGTAAATATGTTTGTTTTGTATTATTTTAGCTTGATTTAGATTTTAAATATGTACTGAAGTATGAAAACTGGAAAATACTGCATTTACTACAGCAAAGAATAGATATGTTCTAATTCTGTAATTTCCTTCTTCAGTTAAAACAGTTAGACTCTTCCTAGGGTTCTGTTTCCTATAAGAACCTCAGTTTTTAATTAACCATTCAACTAACTGGTCAATTGGTCTACAAAGTTTCCAGCCACAGTGCAAAAAGAAACTAACTTTTACTACATGGAGTCACTCTCCATCTCATTCCCTCTCAACCCTGCAGTGACTCATCTGCAAAACTTTTTGCCTGCCATGGAGACCCAAGCTGGAGGCAGCCTGCCTCACTCCACTTTTTTTTTTTTTTTAATCAATGTCAATGTTACTCAAAATGCAATTCTCCCCTTCCTTCTCCCACTCCTGATTATACTCCTGTCCTATCTGATAATTATTCACCCTTCCTCCCCTGCAATGCTCCACAACACATGCAGTTTTGGTCCCTTTCCAAAAAGCCTATGTAGCACAATCTTATTCCTGCTGCAAGGCTGTTATCCTGGAGAGGATTTGAAAAGAAAACACTTTCTTAAGGAGACAGGCTCTCACCATTGTGACTTTACACTGCATCCTATTAAGAATGGGTGGAATTGTGAAAAAGACAAATGCCTTGTCCTTCAGCATTCTTGATTATTTTAGAAAATATCCTTATAAGGCTTTTAACATTATCCTAATCCTCTTTCACACTTCTTAATCACCCAAACCTCTTTTAAGAATTTGTCAGGAATGTCCTACTGTAATGCTTCAAGCAGAGATTAGCAGATGTAGAAAGGGTTACCTTAAATACTAGAGACCCAAAAGTCATTGAAGACAATGTTCATAACTGCTGGAAGGATAAATATGAATAAGGGTGAGTCAAAACAAATCCATTCCAACACAAAGTACCCAAAGCCATTGGGATTCTGACTCTCTTCACATTGTCAGCGCAGTTTTCTTCTTCTTCTTTTATTTCTTTAAGAATTGAGATTTGAGGATATTGTCTTTCTAACACTCTGGCTTGCTATTGAGATGAGTTTGTTACTTGAGACAATCCCAGTATCATGTGATCTTTTCTTTAGTTCTCACAGATGTAAGAAGGTACCCCAAGGAAAGGTTCAGATCATTTGTTCAAAGTGAAAATGAATGCCTGAAAATTAAGCACAATCTAAGATGTGATCTATTTCTTTGACCACTTGGGACTGTCTGGTCCAACAGCAGTTATAATTTGATTGAGCCTTGGCTGCTGTTCTTTTTTTCCAAGACAGAATTAGCTAATTTCAGAATACCCTGTAAGCAGACACATTCTGAGAAGGAAACAGACAATTACTTAGTGACTGCCTGGGGAGGAAAAAATGCCTCTTGGCTCTCTTCAGCTCTCCTCTCTGAAATAATTCACTAAGTTTCTTGTCCATAATAGCTAGAATGTGAAACGGACAAATGTCAGACCTATGGTCCATATTTTTTAAAAACATTTTACAATGGGAAGTTAGATGCTGTACCAAAAAAGTCAAATTTGCATAAATATTATAAGCATATTGTGCCTATTTTCCCATTCTGTTCACTCTCTCTCATTAATTCGAATCAGACAGTACAAGCTCTACAGACTGTGTCTGGTCCTTCGCAGCCTTTTTCACTTCTGCTGTGGCTCTGTCCCCAGATGTAAAAATCCATCCTCAGATCTCAGGTCTAGTGAGCAGGGAATGGAATAAATGGGGGTCTCCTGTCTTTAGACATCCTTTTATTTCGCTAATTTGACTAAATTATGATCAAAGCCTCTGAATATTCCCACGTGTTAGACTCAGTGATGAAAAAAAGAAATCTGGACCTCCCGATTCACGACCCCTTCTTGCACTGATTATATATCTGGGTGGCCATTTCTCAAGATGTTAGTGCAGTCTATCCTAGGTCTTGAAGGGGTCTTGGGTAAGGAGTCTCTTGATGGAGGCAGCGGAGAGGCAAGGGATGTGCCAGATCTGGATATCAGCGCACATTGAGAAGATCTGGCAATCCCTCCCCTTATTGCCTGAAAGCAAGTTCGTTCTCTCTCTCTCTCTTTCACCCACTTAGATGCACACTCCTCCTGGCTGCCCCTCTGCTGTAGATCATCCCATTTCTCAAATGAGTGCAATGCAAGCACCTAGACATCAGGAATGCATTTCACCCTGGGACCATGAATCACAGTCACTGAAACAGTAGCGTGTGAGTAGTAGGCAGCAGTCTTAAAAACACGCTATTCTTTACGCAAGAGGCCCTCGTAATAAAGAGAAGGTAAACTGCCCCAAGCTCATCCCTTTGCCCTGTCTCATCCTCTTCCGCCCACGCAAAAACGGCTGTGGGTCCCTAAAACGCTTTTCAAGATAAGGTTGACCCCAGAGTTCAGGTGAGACCCGAGGAGAGAAAACTCGAGGGTACCTCTCCTCCACATCCCTTTTCCTCATCTGCCATCTCTCTAATCCAAGGGCTTGGTCCTCCGCGGGATGCGCTCACAGCATGGAAGGGCGCATCTTCACCCAATGGCTCTGGCGGCGGAGGCGCGGGGGGCGTGAACGCGAGCGAGGAGCGAAAAGTTGTGCGCCCACTTGGTAGGGAGAAAGAGAGCAAAGAGTGAGCGGGCGAGAGAGCAGGGGGACGGCAGGGAGGGGGTGGGGTGGGGACTGCTTACATGAATTTCCAAGTGGTAGACCTGCCTCTGTGCTCTGCCCAATGAGATCCGTCAGGGGAGGCACCCGGCTCACTTTTCCACATCACTTCACAGTTACATTTGGCAGGCAGGCGGGCTCGCACGCCGGAGCGCTCAGCTCAGAATTAGTGGATTTATTTGGAATCTCCCTGCCTCTTCGAAGCTCCTCCGCCTCTGTCGCGGGATTGTGCATAGACGGTAGCGTCGACCCACCAGCTGCACTTTGGACTGCGGACACCCGGACCCCAGAGCGTCCTCCCCGCGTCTCCACAAGCTCCGCAGCTCCGAGAGGCATGAACGGAATCCAGAGGCGCCTGCCCAGCGGACGGGGACCGGCTGGCACCCGCCGCCCTCGGGAACCGACCCCGAGCCCCTCTGGCCATTTGTGAACCAGAAGGCTTGAAATTCACCGGCGCTGAGCTCCATACGAGTAAGTACTCTTCCCGCCCACATATTCCTTCAGGCCTAAAGGACCCAGAAGGATGGTTTCTTTTAGAAATTCCCTGCTCCTTCGGACACCTTGCGCACCTCCTTCCCCCCAGATCGCGGATGCGTTTTGTTTGCCCTGGCAACAGCTGAGCTGCGTCTCTTTTCATGATTACCCTAGCTGGTGGAGAACCTTCACGGTTTCGCCTGATGGTTTTTGCAAACTGCTCCGCCGGCAAATCTTGAGGGGCATCAAGCCTCAGGCTGTGCCCCTCCAGTTTTCCTCTCGGTCTCCCTCCTTGCAGTCCCCTGGCGATTTCGCCGCTTCCTGACACAAGCAGGCGCCGCTGCAGCCGCGCGTCTTTACTGCGGGGTCTGTGCAGTGAATGGGAAACACCAACCGCCTGGCGAGAGGAGGGTGCTAGCCCGAGGGGACAGGAGGCCACAGAAAGGCCGGAGGTGCCCCCTCACTGCCTTGCTGCACGTCGTTATCTCCAAGGCGTGGGAGGGCGACCCCTGAGATGGGGCTGAGAGCTATGACTCTACTGCGAAAGCCCTGACGCGAGGCTTTCCCACAAGTGGCTGCTCCAGCTTGGGGGCGCGGTGCCAGCTGCAAACTTGCCGAGCTCCGGAGCCGCTTCGCGACTCCCAGATGCTCCCCTGCACCGGGGCAGGATCCCCCCCAGTCAGTGCTGCCTGAGCTCGGAGACTGCGCACGCAGAGGCCCCCTGAGCACAGATAAGTCTCCTCTGTAGCACCTCTTGTAGAGACCGAAGAGTCAGGAGATGTGTTTTTGGTCATTTACCTCTCTGCACCCCCAAACCCTTGGTGGGGGCGGGGGAACGCCGCGCCCCTAGCAGAACAGGCGGAAAAGATTCCTATGCCTGGGTTCTGCTAGCGCGTAACAGGTTCATAAGGGACCCACTCCCGTTGTCCCTGGCTGTAGCCAAGACTGGGAAAATAGTGGAAACATTACCAACACCAATGCTGATGCCAACAGGTATCCATGATTTCCACCCCCCTTTTCCCTTCCCAAGACGAAAGTCTTCCCCCACCCAATGTGACAAAATTCTCAAAGTTTCGGGATCCTCAACCCTTCCCCGCCGGCACAGAGCGGGCGACATATCAAAGACTAGCCTTTTTGCCTCCGCAAGCGGAGATGGCAGCTGTTTGCTTGGGCTGCTGAATGTAAGAAATCAAACAACATTAATTGTTTATTGTTGCAAACGCACAACATTAGTCCGTAATGGAAAATCAGGCTGGCAGCTGCTCACTTCAGCTCCGATTAAAGGACAGAGCTTATAACCAAGCAAGCCGGAGGGAGAAAAAGCCCTTTCAACTTTACCACCGTTTCCTGAAGATTCCACAAGAGTTTCCTCTTTAGGGGGCACGATCCGACAATCCCTTAGTGCGCCTGAGCTGCTAATCAGATCTGATGCCTGTTCTCAGTCACAAAGCTTCACGGTATTTGGGGGCTGACAATTAGAGCCAAGGTATCTAAAAGCAGTATTCTCCCTCATCTGGCACCACCACCAAACAGATAGATGAACCAGGGTTAGTTGGGGGGCATTTGGAAGCGGCTGTCCTCTTAATAACACTCTTAAGAACCATCTCAATAGTTAAAAAAAAAAAAACCCGCCTGGGCTGTCATCTTTGGCTTCATTATAGGAGCATTTCAAGTGGAAAAATATATGTGGGAAAAAAAGATATTTATGTAAGATTCGAGTGTAGGATTTTTCCACCATTCAACCTCGCTGCTGTACTTCACTGCATGCAAAATGAGCCCTGTCGTTCATGCTAAACACCACTGAGATTTCTCCTGGCTATTGCCTTCCATCAGTGTGTCCAGTTTTGCAGGGATTTCCTCTGGAGAGTATGGTTGGGGTGTGTGTGTGTGTGTGTGTGTGTGTGTGTGTGTGAGAGAGAGAGAGAGAGAGAGAGAGAGAGAGAGAGAGAGAGAGAGAACGAGACAGAGACAGAGAGAGCGAGATTGAGATTCTTCTATTGAGAAGACTGACAGGATGTTTTCTGACAGGATGTTTTCTGAGGGTTAAATTAATTTTTTTCTCAAAGGGTGTTCTCCATAATCATCGTGTCCAGGCATAGTTTTCCATTTCCTTTAGCTCTGTAGTTGAAAGAAATTCTAGGATTATTCTCCTTATTAAATGAGAATAATAATGATGATAATATTCTGCTTTAGCAGATGTGATTCTGCTTTAGCAGATTTGAAGCTCCTTGTCACTTAGTCATTTCATGGTGGAGTCATCTCAGGATTTTAAATTGCCTTTGATTTTTTTTTCCTCAACTCTGAAGAAAGTAAGCAGTTGAGAAAAATCCCTCCTGAAAACAGAGAGAGGAGCCTTTGCAGCAGCTTTGGGCATTGCTGCATTTAGGACTGTTCAAGGGCAGATCATCTTCCTCATTCTGTTCCACACACCACCCAAATAAGTGTTAAGGCATCTGCTGATGGTCACTAATAAGACAGGTATTTTAGAATCATGGGCTGGTAATCTCTGAAATCTGTGCTGTAATACTGTCCTTCAAACTTTTTAATCCCCCTTTCAAATTGGATCTTACATTTGTAATTAGTATTACTATTAAAAACCAATGTTTCAACTTTATGATTTATTGTTCTCTAAAACCTTCAAGACTCAGCATAGATGAGTTTCTTCATCCAAAACTGTACTATTCCTTGGCTGCATTGCTAGTGTTGGTTGTATTTCTTGAGTTGTAGCAGCACTCAATTAGGCTGAGGAACACCATTTTAGAGTAACCCTCACTGGAAAAGCCCCTTCATTTACCTGCTGCATGCACTCCAACTCTGAAGGGAAAGATGTCCTTGCTTTGTAAAATTACTTCGAGTCTTTTATGTATAAGACTGTGGCCAGGATGAACAACTCCTCAGTTTCGCACTGAACATAGTTTAAGTAGCCAGTGATAGCATGATCCATGTCAAAAAATAAACGAAACAAATAAAAACTCACCAATCCTTCTCAGCAGAAGGGACTAGGCCTCTTGTGAGGACATTTATTGGTAAAGTGTAGTCTACTCATCATGTAACATTTCCTGGGAAATATGCAGAGATTTAAAGTCTGCTACTCCTTGTTAGCCTACGGGATCAGAATGTTGGAGCAAAGCAAGGAAACCAATGAATGAGGTTATAATGATTCTGTTCAAGAAATTGTACCTCTGGGCTTTGCTTTCCAGATTACTTTCATTGTTTATTGGTGGGGAAAACGAATGCACACATATTGAAAAGTTAAAGTTCACACTTCAACAGCTCTTCAGAAAACCTTATCAGTTTAAGTTAAAATAATATTTTAAAGAAAAAAATATACACTTTATTTTCTACTCAAACATGCTATACCTCATGGTTTTATCAATATTCCAATTTGAGCAAATTTTCCATGTACAACCAAAAGCTTTCAGTTGGTAAAGTGACATTCAGTTTATATTTTCAACCACTTTTCTGGTCCATCAGCAAAGTTTTGTGTTTGACAAATCAAGAGACAAGCATAATCAGTGTAGCCTTTTAATTATAGGTACAATTGAAAGTATTAAGACTTTCTTTTGAAAATGTTGTGCTCAGCGATGCTGTTGATCATGGTTTTAGTAATTTTATATTGGTTGCAAACTTATTCAGTGAAGCACAGAAAAAACATAGTTTTGTGTTTGTATTTTGTGTTCAGCACTGTTGATATTCACAGATGAAATGGAACTAATTTTGTTCTTTAATGTCAGAAAAAACTTAAGTTTCATGTAACATATATGTGTTATAGCATGTAGATTTAAACCAAAGCAGATTCCACTCTTATTGCTCTCTATAATGTGTTATCACACACATACACACACAGCTCACTTCTTGAAAATGAGCCCAGATAAATAACTCATTTATTGGTTAAAGTATAAGAACTTTATCATGTTTCCTTTGTCATTTCATCTGTTTTAGATTATTAGATTTGCTTTCCTGGCAAATCAGTATACTTATCTGTATACTGAACAGCACTACTCTGTGTAGTGCTGTTTCTCCCAAGAATCCTATAAGTGCGTAGTTATAAACTGGACAATTTTTTGGATGTGAAAAGACAATCATTTGATTTAGTGAGGCTTAAATAACCAAAGGAGTATTAGCTTTTCTTCCTTTGTTCTCACAGAAAGTTGTGATGCACAATCTATTTCTGCTGAACTGTTTGTTCCTGCCTCTGGAACCCGCTTCAGATATAACCATGAGTAGAAAATTAGTTGAACCTGACAACTTCAAAAGGTCAGGAAAGAAATAAGTTCAAGGGATGCCATTTAGCTGCTTCTCCCATATGTTGTTGCTAACTAAATCTCCATTGCCACTTTGTGGCAAGGGGGCCGGAGCCAATTCTCTTTCCTTCTTAATTTTTTTTATCATATCTAGAGCTTTTATTTCCTGAGTTTTAAATGTCATGTGCCATTCCTTAACATAAACATCACTTATCTCCTTGCTTTTAAACATCTTGGTTTATTTTTCAGTTCTGTTGGTAGGTAGGAATGTGCATGTAATTTTCTGTATCTCTTTGGAAAGTATCATAAAATAGTAACATTTGTATCTACAACCTTCAAACACTTTCCTGATAAAGACAAAACCTTCAAACATTTTCCTGTTTAAGACAATTGCAGATGCCAGAAGGATGGTTGGTACAGAGCCAAGTACAGAGTAGATGCCCAGTAAACATTTATTTAGTGCATTAACAAATTACAAACAACTGTGTTCCCTTACATTCCTAGGCTATTTTCAATGAAAGGGAGGGTAGGAATACAGTCATATTCGAAGTTCAATATTGGAACTTATCTACCACAATTTTCTCTACAGAAATTTCATAAATCCTCCAAAGTTTATTTTTAGACACAGCTTTTCTCATTTTTTTAAAATCAATTTTATCCATGTTCTGCAAAGCATACTTTTTCTCCCTTCACAATCATTTTTTAAATGATATGGGAGTATAAAAATGACATAATTCAGCTTTGTAAAAATGA